CTCTCTCTCTCTCTCTCTCTCTCTCTCTCTCTCTCTCTCTCTCTCTCTCTCTCTCTCTCTCTCTCTCGCGCGCGCGCGCGCGCTCATGGACACCCAAACACTGATTTGGTAGTCCATCTCCGTTTCTCTGTTCCTACGTTATCTTGCACTTACATGCCTGTGCATAACTGCCAAGCGCACACCGTGTGTGGCATGTCTGTTAGTAATATACACTGTGGAATCCGAAGACTTGCGATACCTTTCCTGCTATGCTTTCACAGATTAAGTCGCATAACGGTGTGGGCCTTCTTGTAGTGTATTAGTATGCACGAACTGGTATTCGTGCAAAGGAAGTGTGGGTTCTGAACTTCTGATGAATGTATGTTCACAACAGATTTGTCTGTGTTTTGCAGCTGTATGCCATGCAGTATCTAGTGGGAGAGCTATTAGCAATGGCAAATGCCAATCGTGGAGGATTTTTCGGGAGCGATAGAGACTTGTCTTCATCAGCAGCTCGCGAGCTCGAAAATTTTGGACAAGAGCTTTTGTTTGTCCCGTATGTTCTTGATTTCCGACGTAAGTTCTACTTCTCCCAGGGAAAGCACTGTGTTCACAGTGAACTTCGGCAGAAGTTGATGCCTCTTTGCCTTATTGTTTGTGTGTGGTTTTAGATCTGGGGGATTGTGGAATCAACTAACTGCACAAAACTGCCTCCTTTGTCATTGTTTTTTTATGATAGTGATATCGCATCATGCAGTTTGACCAGGGAAAAAGGCAACATTCCAACTCTCTCGTCAGGAGAGTGAGATCCTAGATTTGTAGGTCATTTGTGAAGTATAGGCAACTGTATTTGCTAAACGCCTCAAACACATGTTAGGAATCCGATAAGCCTGAACCTGATAGGATGAGAGCACAGAGCATATGCATCCAGATTTGTGTTACAAATGGAAGGGTAATGTTTTACAAGTTCCAGTGCCAATCGAAAAAAAACAGAGAGATGTCTGTGAGGAGCGTTGCTGAAGAACAGGTTGAGAGAGTGCATTGCGTGATGGATGTCCATGACCGGAAACCTTAACTTTTGGTCCATGATTGTCATGATGTCATCAAACCGAACACTCATGTCCTTTGGGACATCCATTAAAATTGGAGCAATACAGAGAAGATTAGCATGGCTCCTGCTCAAAGGATGACAATACATAAATTGAGAAGTGGTCCTTTTGTTTTTCGGGAAAAAAAGAAGTGCAAATACTTGTGATCTATTGGACGTTTTCTTCATGACTGAGGGCTTTCCATAGTACCACATACTACCACTTGTGAAGATGTCCTCTGCAGATCATGGTCTTCTGTATTGTTTCTATGAAAATTTGCTGGCCTGACCTGAACCAATATGCCGCATGCTTCAAATTCGTATGCACACACATGTTCTGATCTAACTACTTGTGATTTGTGTGTTTTTTGGTCTCTCTTGTCCTTTGCAGACACATTGAAAGAGGCCTCTGATTTAGGCTTCCTTTGGTTTAGAGAACTGTACCTTGAAATATCTCACTGTGTTCAGGTGCCTGTCTC